AAGTATCTGGACTGGAAGCAGGTGGCAATGGGGAGAGAGGAGGGGACAGCTGGGGGAGGCGTGAGCTCTGTCTGTCAGCGGACCAGTGTCCACACAGCAGCTCCCCAGGGAGAAGCAGCCCTTTCCCATGTCATCATCCCACAGCCTTCGATTGTCACCCCAGGGAGGGCTGCCCTTTGCTATCGATAGAAACTCCCTGTGGGCATGGCCCAGCTCTGATTCACTGTGCGCTGTACAGGGCACAGGGCTTAATACGCGTGTAAACCTCATTCTCACGGATCACATACGCACCTTGTAAGCCTAGTTCTTTGCCCTGTGAAGAGGTTTGAGAAACGGAACTCTCAGTCAGTCCTGAACTCACTGGACTCAGCAGAGAGAAGGGAGCTGATCCTGAGTTTGTGGGTGATGGCTGGAAGTACCTGTACAGGAGGGAAGGGGCCTCCCAACTGCAGGAGGCAAATTCCAACAGCTTCTGGGAGGCTTTCAGAAAACTCTGAACTGAAGCCACACTAATGCAGAGTCTAGCTTTCTTCTAATGACCTCAGAGCTTTCTTAGAGATGTTCACCTGAGAACCTTGCTCTCTTGAGACGGTCGTGGGGAGAGTGTGACGGGACAAGGGGGCCCAGGAAGCAGGATTCAACATGAACCACTTAGTGACTGAAATCTCATGACCACAGTCTGGAGGGATGTTGAGGCCCGCACCCCTCCTTGGTGGGCAGTGGCAAAGATATACAGGACAAAGATATACAGGACATGCCCAGGTGCACAGCTGAGCAATTCATCCTGGGATGTGCCATTAAGGAAGACCCCCTAAATTCCATATTTTACGGGTCATGCCATAAGGAAGAACACCTGTAAGAATTCTGTATTTTTGCTTCCTTGTGAGATATTTCATGGGTCGGAAGGGTTTATTCAGTGCCCTACTTTAAAGGACAAACCTTCTACTAGGGCAGAACCAGGGTCCTGAAGAGCCATGCATGCTTGATTTGACACCCCAGAATAAGTTTTGTTTGCTCCTACCAAAGGCCTTGTGGTGGAATCCATCTTGAAGAAATGCTGGGTCAACAACTAATTAGGATAGGTCCTTCTAGATGGACTACTTTCTGGAAATCCCCACCTACCCTTATGAATAAACATGATGCCTTCTCCCACTTAAAACCTTTTAAACCCTAGCAAAGACTGTTCCAGGAGACAGAAGTTAAGTGTTGCATTAAACCTTCCCCGACTCCACTTGCAAACCTCTTTCCTATAATAAACCTTTGCTCCTATGGAAATTCTGCTTCACCTGACTGTTCTTAATTGGTAGGAGGCAAGAGCGCTCTCTTATCGGGTGGGAGAGTGATTGTTGTTGTTGTTGTTGTTGCTGTGGAGTCATCAATTGGCACTCTCGCTAATACTCAGGCCTACGAGGCAGGAGGTTACAAGTCCCACCTGACATGACAAATCCTGGTTCCTGTCCTCCCTGGAGCCCAGAGGTCAACAGAAGCCCCCACATGCAGCTGGAGATTAGGATGAAACGGAGTCAAGGATTGGGAGGACCAGGATGTCCCAGGGAAGGAAGCTGGGACCCTAAATCCAGAGGGTCCACTTCTAGGGCCACTCCGTTGGAAAGGAAAGACTGCTTTTTCAACAGCTTCCGTATTTATTCACAACAACTTCTTTACTGATGGGCTGGATGGGACAAGCAAACAGAGGTGGATTGTCGAGTGATGCAAGGGAATCCTCAGAAGAGAAAAGTGCTCAGATACCAAGTTAATTTCTTTTCTGTGCACAGTGCCATCACCCTGCTGCTACTGTCTTCATGGGACTTGGCCCAAGACACCATGGGCTCCTTCAGGATCCAGGACAGAATGTCCACATTTCCTAAATGCCACTATGACTCCTGGGATTCATGCACAATGGGGAGGGGGTGGGGTGCGGGTAGCTCTGAAAGTGGACAGAGGCCCACAGACAGGACAGAGTCCCGTGGGACGCTGCACGCCTCACCCCACAATTGGGAGAGCTGTCTGTCTGGACAGAGCATGCTGCACGCAGCAGCCCTGGATGGGAGGGTCGAGAATGCCTCTCTGTGGAGACAGGAGAGGAAAGCAGCCTCATTCTGTGTACCAGGCCTGCTGATGAGCGTCAGTGGGTCGCTTGTCTAAACCCCAAAATAACCCTGCCAGGCAGGGACTGCTTGTCCACTTGTTTTATTTGATAAAACAACAGATGAAGAAACTGGAGGCCCAGAGAGGTTAAGGAAGTCATCCAAAACTGAGACTCAATCCAGGGACTGACTCTAAGGCTGTTGGGAGGGACCCAGGGGTTCACGGAGGAGGCGTCTGATCGTCCACTTGTGGAAACGAGGCTCCTCCCAGTTCCCACACAGACGCTTCCTTCCAGAGGTCTTTGGGTAGAGACCTTGTCAATCCTGACAGGGATTCACAGTCACCTCCAGGTGTCAGGGTTTCCACGGTGGAGGCTTTGAAGGTAGGTCAGTTGGCCGTCCTTCCGAGGCATGTCTGGGTGGACATGAACCTCCACCTTTTGGTGAGCAGCCGAGAGCACGGGCTGCCTGCATCTTCAGGGACTCCCTGTCAGGCAGGTCTGCCACTGAGTCATTCCAACTCATAGTGACCCTGCATAGGGTTTCTGAGGAGCAGCTGGTGGGTTTGAACCTTATGGTTAGCAGTCCAGTGCTCATTCTGCAGTGCCACACCAGGACTTTTGTTGTGTTGTTGTTAAGAGCCGTTGAGTTAGTTCTGACTCACAGCAACCCTGTATAGGGTTTCCAAAGAACAGCTGGTGACTTTGAACTGCTGGCCTTATGGTTCAAACTGACCTTGTAGTTCACTGCTTATCCTACAGCACCACACCAAGACTTTGTTGTTGGTGGTGGTGTCAGGTGCCACCGAGTCGGAACCGACTCATAGCAACCCCATGCACAGCAGAACGAAACAATGTCCGATCCTGGGCCAACCTCACTACCACTGCCACACTTGACGCCATCAATGATGCCACCTGGCCAATCCATCTCATTAGGGGTCTTCCTCTTTTTCTCTGACCCTCCATCTTACCCAGCATGACATCCTTCTCCAGCGACTGTTCCCTCCGGACAATATGTCCAAAGTATGAGAGATGAAGCTTAGCCATCCTGGCCTCCAAGGAACACTCTGGCTGCACTTCTTCCAAAACAGATCTATTGGTTCTTTTGGCAGTCCACGGCACTTTTAGTATTCTCCTCCAACACCACACCAAGACTTTAAGACCCCCAAATTCTCCTCTCACATGATCTACTCTGATGACAGGCCAGCAGCGGAGGCTCAGGCTGAACTGCTTTCTGAGACACCTGCATTGTTGTTGTCACTGTGCGTCTGAACCGTGAGCCTCGAGGAAGGCGGGCCAGTGCCATTTTCATACGGAATGAAAAGCTATGCCAATCGTTTTTCCAGAATGCGAGTCCAAAAGCACCTGGGTTTGGAGGTCTGTGTCCTAGCACGGCTGCACTCACCCCCCACACAGTGACCCAGGTGGGCAGTGGCAGGCTCTGCCTCCCATTGACCCCAGCGAAGCCACCTCTGGCCGCCCAGAGCCTTGCTGGGTTGGTCCCTCCAATCCTGCTCATGTGAATCTGCTGCTCTTGTTGAGGCTGATGACCTCAAGCTCCTGAAGTTCCCTAGGCTCCCGCTTTTGCACAAACAGCAACAACAGAAACAATCAAAAACCACACAACCCAAACCCCCAAACCCCCAAACCCACTGCTGTGGGTGTCAACGCAGCAGCCCTCTAGGACAGAGAGAGGCCCTAAGGCTTCCGAGGTTGCCATCTTGGTGACGGCAGATAGCCTCACCTTTCTCTCTCTCGGAGCAGCTGGGGAGGTTCAAACCACAGACCTTTCCACTAGCAGCCGCGTGCTGTAACCACCACTGTGTCATCAAGGTGCCTGAACAATACAATTGCTGTTGTTAGGCGCCATCTGGTCGGTTCTGACTCACAGTGACCCTGTGTCCGGTCCTGAGCCCGCTTCACAATTGTTATGTTTGAGCCCACTGGTGCTGCCACTGTGTCTCTTGTGGGGATCTTCCGGGTTTTCCCGGACCCTCTACAATAGGTCCTTATTTATTTATTTTTGGTTGTTACAGATTAAATGGGACAGTAAATACGAAACACCCAGTGCTGTGCCTGACACCCAGTGGGTGCTACCACCCCATCATCACTGTCGTGGTGGTGTGTTCTCTGTGCTTCACTCACGATTCACCGTCCCTGCTGTCCCTGCTCAGGCCAGGAGACAGTCTGCGATGGAGAAAGGGAGGGCTGTGATACCATGCCAGGGGCTGCTTCTAGGATGCCTCATTTTCATCACTAGAAGCACTGCTGTTTAGTGACGTTCCCTTGATATCAGTAGGGAGCAGCCCGAGAGAGGGACATCCTGCTTGGTAAAGCAGAGGGTCTGTGAGAAAGTGGAAGATCCTCCACCAGATGGAGTGACCCAGTGGCTCAAACAGGAGAGACTGTGAGAACAGCGTAGGATCGGGCAGTTATTCATTGTGTTGTACACGGGGTTGCTATGAGTCGAAATTGACTTGATGGCACCTAATAACAAGTACTAAACACTGCCCCAGCTATAAATTCACAAGGCTGACGAACACAGCGCACCCTAGAAAGACAGGTGTAGTCAGACCTGGGTCAAAGAACTGAAACGAACAGTGAAATCCCCCAGCAGGTCACAGGGGAAATGAGCGGGTCAGAGAGCAGATGTGAGCCTAGAGGAGAGTGGGGGTCTGAGAGGAAAGTGTGCTTTCGAACAGAATTCAAACACAGCACACTCGGACCTACGTAAGCATTTCTGGGTCTGCATTTCAGGGCAAAAGAGCTCTCAAAAGAGAAATGTTTCTGCATCAGCTATCTTCAAATGCTGCTGCAAAATATGTCATGACCTGCCTGCTGATCTCTTTGTAAGAGGAACTCGGTGTCAGGAAACCACCAGTGAGGGGACAGTCCCACAGGGCGGTTTACTTACTTGTTGCTGTCCCGGTACTCGTAAACATGACATCCTTGAGGCAGTCCAGTCTCGTGGTCCAGAATGAAAGCGAGCTTTAGCTGAATGGGAGAGAGGAGGGAAAACAAGGTGGCGTTAGGCAGTCTGCACTATCCATGACAACAGAGGAAACGAGCAGATACCAAGGGTAGACTCTCGGCAGCAGACACGTCCTGGCAGAATGCTGCTGCCACCAGGGACTGTGACAAGAAGTCTCTTTTCATTCAACACCCAACCCATGTTTATTAAGCACCTGCTTTGGGATCCACACTGAGCTAGGTGATGGAGAAGGGACAACAACGAACAGCAACACGTGGGGGCTGTCCTCCAAGGACCTTACAGTGCAACAATCAAATCACACTAGTGACGGTTTCCAAGGGGGCTTCAAAGAGTTCATGGGAAATGCAACGGAAAGTTACTGGGGTTTTCCCCCAAAGTTTGTGAAGCTTCCTTATAGCTGTATCAACTTGTTCATCATTTACTGACCTGCTTAGGGTTCCAAATACCATGGTGTTATGCGATGTTAGTGTTATGTGAGAGTTGGAGGCTGTCCCCCGCATTCTGCATCCGTGTTCACCGACCTGCAAGGGTTGCTCACTGCCCATCAGATGCCTCTGGCGTGTCTAGTAATGGCATGGTGCCATGTTCCCCCTTCCTCACCATGCCTTCCTCACTCCGTGGAGCCCATCAGGGGAAGGGGATGGTGGTGGTTGGTGGTCAGGTGTGGCCACAGCTCCATGCAGCCCTCTGCCCTCTCTTCTCCTTCCCGCCTCCTGTTACTGACTTTCCTGGCACCACAGAGTCCTGCCTAACCTCCCCGTCCTTCTGCAACCTTGGGTTGTTCTACTACCTCCCTACACACTCAGTGGCTGCACCAAGACTCGCAGAGGGTTGGGGATGTGTCCTGCAGCTGGCCAGCCGCTGACTCTTGTGTGGCCCAGTTGTTGCTAGGGCCTCTGGTTTATCCTTTAAGGTGGTCTGTGGTGGGTGTCCCAGGACTAGTGGTGGATCTGCATGGGGCCTGGTTCTCTGGAAGTGCCGCCTGCAAATTTTCTCAAAGTTGTCTTCAATGCGAAATGCTGGATAGTGAGATAATTGATAAATGTTGTTGTTGTTGTTGGGTACCATCGAGTCGGTACTGACTCATAGTGACCATATGTACAACAGCCCGGTCCTGGGCCAACCTCACAATCTGTTGCCACGCTTGAGCCCACTGATGCTGCCACTTTGCCAATCCATCTCACTGGGGGTCTTCCTCTTTTTCTCTGACCCTCCACCTTAAGAAACACGATATCCTTCTCCAGGGACTGGTCCCTCCTGACAATATTTCTGAAGAATGAGAGACGAAATTTGGCCATTCTGGCCTCCAAGGAGCACTCTGGCTGCACTTCTTCCAACACAGATCTACTGGTTCTTTTGGCAGCCCATGGCACTTTCAATATTCTCCTCCAACACTGTAACTCAGAAGCATCAATTCTTCTACGGTCGTCCTTATTCACTGTCCAGCTTTCACATACATATGAGGTTATTGAAAATACCATGGCTTGGGTCAGGAGCACCTTAGTCCTCAAGCTGACATCCTTGCTCTTCAACACTTTAAAAAGGTCTTGTGCAGCAGATTTGCCTAATGCAATACGTCATTTGATTTCTTGACTGCTGCTTCCACGAATGTTGATAGTTG